TATATTTTAATATAATCAATCATTTATATAAGCAAATCTAAATATATTATATAGGTTGGAGAGAGAAAAATGCAATATAAATTTTCAAGATTCCTTTCTTTCAGATTTAGATCTGTAACGAGTAGATTTTCATTTCGATTATTTTAATTAGACGCAAGCTATTTTCTTGCGTTTTTTTAAGTATCGTCGAGATGTATGATATGTAGTTATATCTGATATGTGTGTGCAGTTTTTCTACTTAACGTTATTAGCAATATAATATAAATTTCTTAAATTTATCATAATTATTTTATTTTAATATATGTCCATAGCCATTACACATGCCGCTTCAATTTTTCGTTTACGTTTGTATAAACCTAATCTATCGTATATGGACATAATCATGAACGAGAATATATAATTTTGTATCGTCATTAGACTACTGTATCTTTTCTCCGTCGTGTAACAAATGATACAAGCAGTTTATATTGATCTCATTCCATCACACTTAATGTATTTGTATCCTGGCAGCATTTGACGCATACTCGTTTCATGTGTACTCATGCGTTAACTTGTTACAACATAATTTTACAATGACATTTCAAACTCGCGCTATTTCTTGCTATGCATTACGACAGTTATGCGTACATAAATTGATATTATTATCTGACCACGCACTGCGATAACAGTAGAAGAAATTATCATTAATAATAATATTATTAATAATAATAATCATAGACTCTACTTCGAAAAATATATCAGTATTTATATTCTTGTATTAGCGAACATAAATTGAACAAATGAACACATTTACCAATGCAACAAGATCATATCTAATATATAATAAATATTCATGTACATTTTCCATGTCATATACAAATTAAAATTATTATGATCTAATAATGATACCTATCACGCCGATCTACGTTAACTATAGTTTCATCGAACACGTAATATATGCAAAAAAAAGATAGGTAATAACGACTCCGAGTTGTTCATGTTTCTTTTGCGAAACGAGCGGCATGGCTTATAACGTAGGGAGATGTTATAAGCTCGAGTGCAGCTGTATACGGGCACCTATTAAAATCGTAAGGAGTTACCTAAGGAGGACCGCGAAAACGCGAAAGAACCTAATGCGATTTTAATCGCGCGGTTTGAATTTTAAATGTTAAATACATATAGATCGACTTTGTCTTGTAAAGCGAAACATGGTCGAAAAAACATTTTCTCAGTGGCGTATTTGTGCAAACAAGGTCTTTTTATTTTTTGAATAAACGAACGGTAAAATATATTGTCGTAAAAATAAAACTTTATATACATTTAGAAAAGTTTTTTTAGAGAAAGAGTAATATATTTTTATTATAGATTTTTTATTTTCGAAACTCTGAAAAAGCGATGTATCTTGCATTCGAATATACGCGATACAGAGATGTTCATATTAGTGTATAATGATAATAACACGTGATATGTTTCGACGAACCCTTTATGAGAAAGATTCGCGATAATTTTTCGCGTATGAGATATAATGAAAGTATAACATATATAATTACCAGATACGTGTGCATATCTTTGTTCTGTAATTAACTGTGTTGATGTATATTTTTTTATAATAGAGGTACATTTTGTCATCAATAATCCAAGAAAATTAAAGCGACAATTGTCATTAGGCTACCATACTTTCTCTTCGCGTGTCACGTAGCAAATAATACGAGCCGCTTTATAGCGGTGCGTCGTGATAGTGATTAAACCGTGCCCATAAAACCGCATCGTAAGAAGTTGGCAACCGGTTGCTAAGAATTTTATAATTGGTATAATTTGTAGTCGGACTTCTCTTAAAAATTTAACGCAGAAGATCAAACGTACGAACGATAATTTAATTTTGCCACTAAAAAACCATATCTGCTGAGAGTTTGGTTTATATGTATAAATTGTGAAATTTAAATTTCCTTGAATACTTAAAAAATACACGACCTAAAAGAGAGCTTTTCGTTGCGTGGAAGTACATCCGTTTTACCTTCCTTCCTACGCCAATGGCCGGTGGAGACGCGAGCGACGGGTCGAGGTCGCATTAGGACCTAATTTTCCATAATGGAAGAAGTCCGTGGCGTGGTACGGCGCCACTACGGCGAGGAGACCGGCTAATTGTGGTCCATTCATAACCATTCTCGGCCAGCCGAGCGCGCAACGGGCGAACGATCTCTCTAATTCCAATCGAGATTCTCGCGCCGGCAATTTAGGCGCGATATCTCTCAGAGTTTGGTGACATGTCGCGGAGTTGCCGGAAGAGAATGGAAGTACAGGGAAAGGAGGGGGTCACTCAATAACGGACACTTTCTTTTTGGAATATAAATGAAAAAAGAAATAAGTAAAATATAAAAGGGATATGACTATGTTATATTTGTATTTTAATAATAACTTGTATTTTATAATTTAATTTTTATGTAAGAATTTAAAAAAAAAACATCAATTACAATTTCATTCATTAAGTATAACAGACACGTGTTTTAAATTATTTTTTATTCGAATCAGTCATAAATTTTTGTAATCGAATTAAAATGTCGCTTTTAAAATTACTGTAAGGATTTTAAAGTCACAAATAGAAATATTCTTTTATAAATTACTATTATAAAGTTTTATCTAATGTCTATTGCAAGCATCTGCTCTTTAATGACAGTAATGAGAAATATACTTTAATACTGAGTGACTGTTTTCTATTTTCATTAAAATTTCACAAAATTGAAATCACAAAGTAAGACTTTTGATCCGGCCAATAAAATTATCAGTTTGAATATATTTAATCCGCTCTTTTTTAATATCGCTCAGATAAAATAGATACAAATGATGTAATAACATTAATGCGCGCAAACTTCTGTTACGTTCTTGACATTATAAAGTAACTACCATCTGGTCAGCGTGATTTCGTATCATCGCATCGCCCGGATAGTA